CTCCCCAGCCAGCACCTCCTGCAAAAGGGGGGGAAGCATCTTTTTCCAGGAGCTTGCTTTCAAAAGGCATTGCCGCAGCTGAGACGCAAGGAGCAATCTGGGAGATTGAATCAGAGCCGATTCAGAGCAGCTGTAGCCAAGCAGGGCCCTCATTTGGACGAGTGGGGTCTGAAGAGATTTTTTTTTTTCTTTCCCCTTAAAAGAGAAGCTACATAGGATTTTTTTTTTTTTTTTTTTTCATGCTCTGATCTTGAAACTGCTTGTGCACATGAGAAAACTTGGAGCGTGTGAATCCTTTTGCAGGAGTCAGGGGGACTGAATGTGCTTGGGGTTGAGAACACACGTAAGAATTTACAAGGTTGGGGATGTATTTTGTCCTGGTTGCTAAGTGGGATGGACGTTACGGATCTGCGTAGATGATTTATACTGCCCTGCTATTTCATGGTTTATTTTTTTTCCATTTCTGCTTATCTGTTCTTGCAACTTAGAAAGCAGTATCATATTAGCGAGCGTGTACGTAACAACTGAAATGACCGTCCTCGCGCGGGGAGTTCTATAGAGGCTTTGATAGAAAGGCTTATAAAGGGAGTTTTGTGTTTGCACCTCCTGATTTAGAAGGCTGGGTGGAGACATGTAACCTGACGGTGTTTGATCCGTGTGGGCATATGTGGATAGAAAAAAAATCTGCCCGGTTGTGTCAGGGACGCTTTGTTGGGAAAAAAAAGATGACTTGCTGTCGTCTGCCACAGTAACGTGTTTTCCAAATTGAAATAAAATTGCACAATAAAAGCTGGGGAAAGGCTTTTTGTTCTTTACGTACCGCTTGCTTTACTTTATTATATGTCATAGAAGCAAGTGTGTGCTCTTAGCGGGGGTCTGGAAGGAGAGCTGGAAGTTCACGCTCTCTGACCTCTGGCTAAAATCTGTTTGAACTTGAAAGAGCTTCCCTGGAAGCCCCTAGAGCTGCGCTGCATCCTGCAGACCTTCACGTTCATGGCTTTTTGCTTCCTGAGCGGCCTTGTATGTGCAGGGATACGCTGCTGAAGTGGTTGCAGGACTGACACGTTACTGTTCGTGGTCGGACAGACTCACCGCTGCCGTCGTGGAGGTGGAGCAGCTCCGCTTCTCGCCCGTCTCTGCCGCTGGTGGTTTTATGGAGCGGCTGCTGTCGGTGCTGGCAGCGCAAACCGGGTGCAGTTATTCTCCCAGTGCCTCCTGTCCTGCTCCGGTGTTGGGGTAGTGCCCAGAGTTGCAGTGCTGGAGACCTGGGTGGGTGCCGGGGCTCTGAGGGCACATGGGTTTGGCTTTCCTGCGGTTGCCCTTGGCTTCTCCCTATGAATAGGGTTCCTGTGTGTTTTTAAAGTAGGACCTACACGTTTGCTGGGAGGCATTGCCAGCAGAGGGAGCATGAGTTAGTTCCTCCCATCTACGCGGTCCAGAACTGTCAAATGCCATCTTTAATAATTTAGGGACAAAAATAAGCAAATAAGCTCTTAAATAAATAAATAAATAAATAAAAAGAATAGCCAAAGAGAGCTGTCTAACGGGATGGCACAAAGGCAGATCGGTCAAAGTCGTGACCGTGTTGAAAACTTAATCACAATATTTGGCTGAACCTTTACAAAAATTCCCCATGACAAAATGTTAAGGAAGGAAGCAGATTGTCTCCTTCCATGCCAGTGCTGCGGGTGCCACGGCGTTCTTCTAATGCGGGAAAACCTCCGGGCGAGATTGCCACCAGATTTCCACCTAATATGTCTGTTTGGCCTGAGCCGCGAGTGAAGGATGGAGCGTGAGCGGCATAACACTGGGAAGAAAATTAGGCGTTGATTTGAAATCTTCTGAGTGTTATTTGCACCAGAGAAGAGGAAAGCGGGCCTAAAATTATCTTCAGTTCAACGGTTTTAGTTGAAACAAACAGTTGCCAGCTGCCAAACAGAACAGCACAACTTGGGGACTGAAGAGAAGTAATTCAGTCTAGAGGTGTCTTGTCCAACTTTTGGCACTATTTATTAAATCTTTTCAACCTGGAGGTGCTGTGTTTTGTTTTTTTTTTTTTTTTTTTTTTTTTTTTTTTTTTTTTCCCTGAGGAGCACAGTGGATGCTTGACCACGGGGATTAATGCAGCCCTCCTGTTCATCAGGGACCTCTGTTCATCAGACCTTCTGCAGAGGGTGAGGACACTCGTTAAAGAAACGGCTTGTGGCACATTCCTCTATTTCTGTGGATATTCCTGTTTGGTTGTAAAAATTATCGATACTCTGTAACTTGCAGAATGACCAGATCAATAGGCAGTTTTCTCTCTATGGAACATGAATTGCCCATTTTATCCTAAGGTGGCTTTGCTCATGAGCAGAAAATTATAAACCCCAGTTTTATATGCTGTGCATCAGCAGTAGAAGATGGCTGATAGTGGTGTAGTTTAAATGTCCAACGTTTACAATATGCTGAACAAATTAAATCTGTGCTTGGTAAAATGAGACTCCTGTGGCTGCCTGGAGCGCTCGGTAACAAAAATAAAACCATACCTCAGATTGCCCTCTGGTATCGATTAGATTTTATTCTGTCCTGCTGCGAGGGCGACGACACCGAGACAGGTATCCCGCAGACAAGGTGCGATCCTGCTCAGCGAGCAAAAGCGTCTCTGCGGAGAAATGGGGCTGCATTAACACGTGGGGAGCAGCGGTTCGGAGCTGAAGAACAAACAACGGTGTTTGATTTCCTGGGGACAGTGACACCCCAAAGCGCCAGTTTGCTGAGCTTCCCCCGGGGAGTCCTTCCTGGCCCATCACACCCTCCTGCTTTATCAAAGACCTTTTTTTTTTTTTTTTTTTCCCCTTCTTTAAGCTTCCTGACTCATTTTTGGCTGAACAGTGCTTGCCTGTGTAGCTTGGCCAGCGGGTGCTACGGGGAAGCAATGCCGAGGAACCTGCGACCTGCCTGGCACCACTGCTCGCGGAGGGACTTGGGTGGCTATGGCTGAGAAATGGGCTCAAGCCAGCAGCCAGGTGCCCGGGGGACCGGTGCTTGCTGTGGCTATTGCAAAGGCTGAGACACTGGTCTGGCAGAGCCTTTCAGTGCATGTTCCTGCTCAGCCTTGGACTTAATACAGCCTTAATGGGAACATGTGCTCTGGGCAAGCACGTGCTTAAATGTAAGCACCATCAAGACATAAGAACCTTCATAGCTGGAGCCACAGGCCTGAATTGGGCTTTTGAGTCTGCAGCACAGCACAAATCAGCAAGCGGGTGGAAATGTCACCTTCGTTTTCCAAAGCAATTTGCATTTCCCCGGGCTGGCAGCACATCTGACAGCTCCAAGAGGCCCTGGCTCGGGAAGCGCCGTGCCAGCGCTGCCGGGGCGGCTGCCCCTCGCCCGCTCTGCTGGGTGCAGGGGCTCGTCACCCCTCGGTGTCCAGGCAGTCGGGGCAGATGTAGGAGCTGATTTGTTTTTTTTCAGGTGAAATGAAGCTTTGCTGTGGGGTCCTCCAGCCGTGATGCTTCTTTAAAATCACCCCGTGGGACCTGCTGGGAGAAAATCCCACCTGTACCAAGCGTATTAAAAGAACCTAAAAACCAAAACTGAAACTGGAGGTAGAGCAAAAGGTCTGTCTGGTGGGGAGGGCATCCTTATCGCCTCCCGGCAGCCAGACCTAAGAAAGTCGGGTTTTGAGGCTCTGCAGAGCAGTGGGAAAGGAGGTGGATGCTCCTTTACTGTGTCAAGTTTTCCAGGGAGTGGCGGGTTTGGGAAGTGTAGAAGTGTTTGTAGCTGGGCTGGGGCTGGTGGATTTAAGGCAAATCCTGCTCCCACCGTGTCTGAGGCACACAGGGCACCTGCTTTTATGCTGAATGGAGGAGACTTGCTGCTGCCCTGCTAGATATTTATATGGGAAGTTGGTCAGAACCCTGTGGCTCTATGGGGTCACTCGCTGTTGTGTTTTGAGGTGAAATCTCAGTGGATAAGAGGAAGTAAAAAAAAAAAAAAAAAAAGGCAAATGGAGTACAGGGAGCGATGCCCAGCTTGCAGGTGAACCCACAGCATCCCCGCTCACACGTTGGCCGTGGGAGCTTCAGCCCCCCCTCCACAGGGCTGTACGGCACGGGAGCACCCACCGGCACGGCAGAGCCTGCCCATCCCTTGGGAGACTTTTCAGGGTGCTGCTGCTGCACTGAGGAGCAGAGCCCACCCCACATTCCGTGCGAGGGGAAGAGCCAGGGCAGGGAGCACGGAGCTTGGCTGAAAGGCTCGGGTGAGTAAGTCTTGCACGCCGCGATGCCTGAACATTTGGAAAGTGCTTCACCCTCCTGCCTGCAGTGCTCTGCTCCCGCTGCCTGCGGGCGCGGGAGGCATCCGTCCTCCTGCCCACACATCCCCCCCTGTGCACGGACAGCAGCCCACCTCCTCCGGCACCGCTGGCAGGTGCTCTTTAGCAGGGAGAAAATAGAAATGAAGGTAGCGGCAATAAAAGCAGCCGCGTCCTCCAAATCCTCCTGCACAAAAGGCCTTTTGTTCCCCGGGTGAATTCCAAGAGCTTTTCTCCAGATTTGATTCCAGCAAACTCCCACTGCAAGCAGACAGCCGAGGGCTTGAAAACAAAGCAGCAAGTAAACGAAAGTCCCTCATAAAAAATCCCCACGAGGGCCGGAGGCTCTTGACAAACAGCTTCCCCGGCCTGCAATTCCTGTGGATTTCCTAATTTGAGATAAGCAGCAGAAAAAAACAGGCTCTGGGATGGGGAGGCAGTGAAGCCAGCGGACCTTGGCAGAGGGAAAATACGGGCTTGATTTATGGTGTACTGGTGACTGGAGGGGGTGACTGTCCCTGCCACTCACCTCCCTGGAGCTCTGTTGCTGTGACTTCTCGTGATAATAGGGGTGAGGGAAGAGGCCACAAGGCTCCCACGATGGCCTCTGCTGCTCCGTGGGATCTCTGCCACCATCGCATTTTTCCCAGAGCAACAGGACGATGCAGCTGCCCAAGTGCTGGAGGTGCAGGAGCCTCACAAGGAATGTAACCTTCTCCAGCAACCATAAGGAGCTGAAAACAAAGTCCTTTTGGCATCACTCGGACCCCAGTAAGATTTCCCTGGGCCATTAGTTGCCTTTGGCTCTCACAGCCTCCCATTGGGCAGCCGTGTGCCCTTGCAGGATTTCAGGGTGTTTGAGACGGCGTGATGGGAGGAGGGGAGTGGAAGTGTTTTTTCTCTGTGCGTGATGAGAAGGTCTTGAGCACACCCATGATAAGTTGATGAGTGGAAAAATAGTGAGGCAAAGCAAGGTGAGAAGAAGGAAGAGGCTTTGGCCCCTGTAGGATTTCAGTTGGATGATTGGAGATGGATGTGTGCATAGGCAAATGGTTGAATTTAGCATTTTGTGGTTTTATGCATGGGCCTCCACGGTGGTCTTTGGAGGATCCAGCGTGTCTGGAGCATCAAGGCTCTCCCACAGCTTGGGAGTTGATGAAATCCTTACGGGTCCCTTCCAACTTGAGATATTCTGTGATTCTATGATTAACTTGCCTGTGGCCATGGATGGGGTCGTTAGAGCTGAAACCGGAGCATGAACACCCTTGCGCCCACCACCTCCTCCCCTCTTTATCTGATGGATCACGAGGCAGCACCTTGCAGCTGGGCTGAATCAGCAGAGAACTACACAATTCCACTTTGCACCCGCCTGGGCGATCCCAGCACCGAAGAGGAAGGCACTGGTCCCTGGAGAGCTGTGCAGGGGCAGGGCTGGTGCTGGGGGGTCAGCTCAGGGCAGCCAAGCCCCAGCCCAGGTGGAATTGTCTGACAGCAGATGCTCCCTGTGTTTATTCACGTCAGTATAGAAACCAACGCCGCGCCGTTCCTGCTGGGTGGTGTTGCCACTGTTTGCACAGAGGTGCTGCAGTTTGGGAGGAGCCATGCCCTTTCCCCCAGGCCATCGAAGTTCGAGCAGCTGGATGCACACGCCAGATGAGTTCAGCCAAAGTGTTGTAACAGGGTTTTTAATATTAAAGTCTCTGTAGCCCTGTGCTGAAAGCCGTAGGCAGGCAAAACTCTCGTCTCTACCATCTCCCACTTATATTAGCACCTAAAGCATGATAGATTTAGGGCTGTTTTGCATTGCACCTGTTTTCTAAAGGAAAACTGGCTAATCTAAAGGCTGCTTTGGCAGTGCAGTATGTCAGGGGAGGACTCTGCCTTGCCTCGTCATGTCTGCAGATGCCAGCGTGGTCCTGGCACCAGCTCAACAGGAGCACGATGGGTGGCCCCACGTTGTGCCTGCAGTTCCCTCGCTGAGACTGGGAGGGATGCTGTGTCTGGGCTGGGAAGGGACGTTGTCTGGGAAAGCTGTTTGTTGTCATCTCCCTGTTAGCATCAGAAGGGAGCATGTGGTTGCTCTTTGTTGGTCTGTGAGTGTGCAAACGGGCTCTGAAGGCCCCGTTTCCTCTCTCATGTTGGTGTTCCTGCAAGCAAACACTGGAGCAGGGTGCAAGGAACACACCGGGGCAGAGCCCAGCTGGGAAGTGAAGTCCAAGGTCCTGGCAACGGAAGGTCCAAGCCAGTGTGGGAGCCCATGAAACAGCTCAGCGAGGTGGCAGCAACTTCCAGAGGACACAAAAGATCATCCCAAACCCTCATACCTCCCCATGCAGTTGTGTTTTATCAGACGGCCAGCGCTCGCCTCCAAACTGGGGTTGGGTGTTGGTGTCCCACAAAACCCGCTGAAAGGTTGCTCCAGCACATGGTTACCCCAGTGTTCCCTGCAAGCTCCTGCGGACTAGAGCTGCAGCGGGGGCTCAGCTCTGTTTGGTGGTGGATTACAGGAGGGTAGGGAATTGCCCAAAAGCTGGGTCAGCTCCCTGCCTCCTTCCCAGAGTCCCTGCAGCGCTGCGTTCGGTGCGTGTCTTCGCACAGGATCTCATGTCTAATCTCTATCAAAGTGTCTCTTCCGTTTCGCGCTCAGACGGTCTTAACTCCTCTAAAATTTTGACATGCACTCTTATCAGAGTGACAAACAGACTCTCATAACCAAAATCTGCAGATAGATAAGAAGAAATCGCATCCCTCTGGTTTCTGTATTGACATGAATAAACACGGCAGCCTGCAGCCCTTTTGCAGGATGTGTTAAGAGGAAAATGGGCAGAGTAAGAGAGATTAGCCTGAATCAGGAAATTACCTTCAAAATTGAATTACTGAAATGCAGAGCTTATTGAAAGGCAGGCAAATAGGTTCTGATATTTGCACAGTTTGGTGACATTTCTGTATGTTTCTGCGCTGCAGGATCCAGAGATTAGTCTGCTGGAGTCCTTACTGAAAGGTTTGTGCTTCGTCTTCTTGCAGCGTTTTGTTCGTGTGCTGTTCAGAGCTTCGCCACCAGACCGTCTCCAGCTGGAGGCCAATCTTGCGGCAGGCATGACGGACTGACCTTGGGATTTTTTACCCTGCAGTAAAGCTGGAGATCTTTGTCTCCGTTGTGTTTGTGCCTCAGCAGAGCTGACCTACGTCAGCCGCCGTGAGTTGAAAACGCAGCTCGCTCTGTCGGTGGAGACAGGCCCCGAGACGCAAATAACCTTGGCGTGATCCGAGCAGACGTTGCACAACCTTTGCCACGGGGTTCATTCGGTGCGCCTCCGTCGCTCCTTGCAAAAGCCCTGCTATTTTGGTTTGGGGCCTCTCCTGCGCTGGGTTTATTACAGGTTGCAGGATTGAGTCAGAGGAGTGAGCTGAGCCCTGCCACAAAGAAACCCCGGGGCAGCCGCCGGCCCGGCGGGGTGCTGGGGCCCGGCTGCTGTCGGGGCAGGACAGCAAATTGTAACTCCAACATTGCAATGTGGGTGCTAACAGTATCGGCAGGTAGTTCGGGGTCAGCTGAATCATGGTGAAGTGTGCCCAGGCCATGCCATGCCATGCTCTTATCTTCAGGAGCTTTGGGAATGAAAATGGAAGATGAATGCAGCATCATCTGCTCATGTGTTGTGCCAGTGTTTCAGGGTTCCCTACTGTACAAACGCCCAGATGTTGGTTTTCCAGATGGAGATTCAGCGTTTTTCTGTCTCTCTATTTTCATTGCTTAGACTGACTTTGAGAAAAGAAAGTATCTGCCTCTGGGCTGTGGCTCTGAGGTCACCTACTCTTTGCCAAAGCAAATTTGGGTGCACTTGGGGCGACGCGTTGGCTGGTTAAATCTCTGGGAGGTGTCTTTAGGAGCAGGTTCCCCCCAAGTGTGTCGCAGCCATCAGTCAGAGCCAGAAAGGAGACGCAGAGGGGAAGAGCAAGTGACTCAAGCACTCCATTTAGCCTGCTGACATTTCCAGGTTTGGTATAAAATGAGATTTATTTATTTTTGGAGAAAAGCACCGAGAGGAGGAGTGGAGTTCAGAGGCAATTAGGGCTGTCCCGTGGTATCTCTGTGCCTGGCGCAGTGTTTCAGGCATATCCTGATTCCGGTATGTGTTGGCAAAATTCATCACAGTCATAAAAGTGTTTTTTGCCTTTCCCGCTTCCTGTCCCGAAATGTGGTTCCTGGAGGGGGGGAAAAGAAAAAAAAAAAAAAGCAAAACCAAAAAGCTTCGATTCTTGAGATGTAAAGGTGTGAGTTGCAGCGCGGACGTGGGGCGCAGGGATGGGGCTGGCAGTGGTGATGGTGTGCTCAGACCTGGATGTGCCAATGGCCACCAAATGAGCCGGCAGCTCCACGACACCAAAATTGAGAAGAAGAAAGCCCGGAGCTGGGAGACATCTCAGCCCCCCGACCGTGGCAGGCTCAGCTCCCTTCTCCTGAGCAGCCCTGAAAGGAGTTGTTAAGGAAACAGATTTCAAGTTTGCTGTTTCCAAGGAGTTATTGCAAACAACTGTGAGGGAAGACACAGATAAAGGACGTGCAGGAAACATCCCTGTCCTGCGCAGAGGACGTGCCATGTTTCTCGTTGGGGCATCTCCGTTTGCCTCCAACCCATCCAGTTGCTCATGGCAGTGATGGAAGAGCAGCCAGTGGCGCTTGGCCACTCTTACTGACAGGGCTAAGGAGAGAGCAGCTGAATTCTATTTCAAAGAGGCAAATAAAGCACTATCCTCTTCATCTCTTCCTTTGGCCTTCAGTTGAAACTTTAACAGGTTTTAAGAATCTCTTGCATATTAAATTCTTCTTCTGTGGCTTGATGAGGGGTTGGAAGACAGATTTTTCAGGCCCACTGCCACATCATTGGTGCTTACATCTAGCTTTTGGTTTTCTACAGAAACTAGGCCTTGGCTAAAGCTCTGCATTTACAAACTGGGTGGTGGGCACAGCTCAGGCACTCTCCTGCCCTGTCCCTGGCGCCCTGCTTTGAGCATTGCACAATGCAGCTTTACCAAAGGGTTACCAAAACCAACCATGGAGGCAGAGGTGGTGGGAGAACTTCCCTCACATACCCCAAACCAAATCACTGCCACCACCTCCAGCCTTGCTATCACCTGCAGATCTGTCCCAAAGAGATATAAATCAAAAAGGCATCATCTGAGCCTGTGCTTTGACTGTCTGCGTGACAAACCTCAAAGGCTTTCCTGCAGCCAAAGCCCGTGGAGGAAGGCAGTGGTGATGCAGGAGGCACTGTGGTCCTGTCTGGGAGATGCCACAACAACCCATGGGAAGGCAAGTGCTGCTGCCTCTGGGAACAGAGACCGCCTGGGAAGATACATTTGTACTACGAAACCCACCAGAAGTGGCTAATTCATGAATTTACACCCATTGTGTTTGTTCTTTTTGACTGATGACTTGATTTCTGTTTCATCTGGAACACAGCCAGCTTGTAAAAATGAGTCCAGGTAAAGCCCTGGCAGCACAGCTTCTCCCTCAGAAACACTCATTTAAAATATATTTTGTTATCTATGTGTATTTTAATTTTTAAGCTCAACGATTTGGCAGGGAGTCTCAGGCGTCTTTGCTTGGTGACTCTTGTTTAGTCTAGAGGTGGTGAGTGTTTGACTGCAGGGATGCCAGGAATGCACCCGGCCTTCCCACTCCTCTTACACTTGGCTGGGGCGTCCCCTCCTGTGGGATTCCTTGGTGAAGAGACCTGGGCGGAATTAAAGGCTCTTCACCTTGCGAA